AGAACCAGGAGCTCGTTCCCAGGCCAGTGCCAAGATGGGGACAGACTGCTCTCATGTGGAGCTGGAATCCAGCAGGAACTCTCTGGTGGACAAAGCTGAAATCCTGCTGGGAAAGGCTGAGGGGAGGATCATGGTGTGGGTGGGGTGGTGAGGAAGGGTGGCCAAGGACAGCCCCTATGCTATGCCATGCCACGCCATGCCATGCCATGCCATCCACTGAGCCCCTGCTTCCCATTCCCACACTTGGGAAGGTCCCGAGGTGCAGGAGGAAGGTGTGAGGGACAGAACCTTTGGTGACAATTCCAACCTGCACCTTCTGCTCCCCTCCCTGGCTGCTTTTCTCCCTCCCATCTGCTCCTGTCCCGTTCCCACCCCGGGCAGGTACCGAGCCGTGGCGTCCTGGAGCCGGATCCAGGGCATTGGGATCCCCATGTGGAAGGCCGTGGAAGTGCTGCTGATCTGGGCCGTGGCCATCGTGCTGGCAGTGCCCGAGGCCATCGCCTTCGACATGGTGGAGCTGAGCTACTGGGAGCAGCACCTGTGGGTGTGCATGCTGGCCTCGGAGCAGAAGTCCCGCTTCATGAGGGTACCCATGCATCCCCACCCCAATCCCAGCTCCGACCCTAATCCAATCCTGCTTCAGGAGGATACGTGTGCATCCTAATCCCAGTCCCAACCCAAATCCAATACTACCTATCCCAATCCCACTTAATGAGGGTACCTGTGCATCCCAATCCCGACCCTAATCCAAATCCTGCTTCAGGAGGATATGTGTGCATCCTAATCCCAATCCCAACCCAATCCCAATTACAATACCCATCCCAATCCCAACCCTAATGCCAATCCCACTTCAGGAGGGTACATGTGCATCCCAACCCCAACTCTGGTCCCAATCCCAATCCCAATCCCAACTCAAATCCCAATCTCAGTTCTGCTTCAGGAGGGTACGTGTGCATCCCATTCCAAATCCAAATCCAAATCCAAATCCAAATCCAAATCCAAATCCAAATCCAAATCCAAATCCAAATCCAAATCCCAATCCAAATCCAAATCCAAATCGCAATCCTGCTCCAGGAGGGTACGTGTGCATCCCAAGCTACCCCTGCTGCCCTTTCCCCATTTCCAGCTGTTCCTTCTCCCTTTCCCCCGCAGTTCTACCGGGATGTGAAGGACTGGTGGCTTTTTGGCTTCTATTTCTGCCTGCCCTTGGTGTGCACGGGCATCTTCTACACCCTCATGTCCTGTGAGATGCTGAGCAAGAGGAACGGGATGAGGATTGCTCTGAATGACCACATGAAACGGGTGAGAGAGCCAGGGAGGAATCCTGACATTCCCCAAGAGTGCTGTTGGAGGGGGGACACTTCCCATCCCTGTGAAGGACAGGATGAGCTGGCAAAGCCTCACAGAGGAACTTGGCACGTTGATGCAGGGATTACACCAGGGAAAAGGGCCTTCAGCTCCATAATCTCCAGCCTCGGGGATGACCCCAAACCCTTCTGGCCACAGCCCAGCTTCATTAGAGCTCTCCTGGTCATTTATCCCAGCACACACCACACTGGACCAAAGGCTGGATGTGCCAAATCCCAGACAAGGGGTGCAGGAAGAGTTCATTGTCCCCTCCCACGCTTTGGGAATGATTCCCTGAGGAGCTCCAGCTGGTTGTCACCTTAACAGCGTCATGGGTGGATGGAGGAGGCCCCGTGTCCCAGGGAACACCATCCCAGCAGAGCCACCAGGAGTGATGGTGGGGAGGGGTCTGGCCCACGTGGAGCTACTGCTGCCCTGCCCTTTTCTACAGCCTGGACCTGATGCAGAATTCCAGGAGCAACCTGGGCTGGTGCAAAATGTCCCTGCCCACAGCAGGACAAAACGAACTTTAAGATTCCTTCCAATCCAAACCAAAGCATTCCACGATTTGGGACCTGCTCCCCTGTGCTCATCCTCCCCCCTGCTCCTGTCTGGCAGCGCCGGGAGGTGGCCAAGACCGTGTTCTGCCTGGTGGTGATCTTCGCACTCTGCTGGCTGCCCCTGCACCTCAGCCGCATCCTCAAGAAAACCATCTACGACCAGATGGACCCCAACCGCTGCGAGCTGCTCAGGTAGGGCCCCCAGCAGGTGACACTGGCCTGGGAGCCCCAAAGGTGACACCAGCCTGGGAGCCCCAGAAGGTGACACTGGCCTGGGAACCCCAGAAGGTGACACCAGCCTTGGAGCCCCAGAAGGTGACACTGGCCTGGGAACCCCAAAGGTGACACTGGCCTGGGAGCCCCAAAGGTGACACCAGCCTTGGAGCCCCAGAAGGTGACACTGGCCTGGGAACCCCAGAAGGTGACACCAGCCTGGGAGCCCCAGAAGGTGACACTGGCCTGGGAACCCCAGAAGGTGACACCAGCCTTGGAGCCTCAGCAGGTGACACCAGCCTGGGAGCCCCAGAAGGTGACACCAGCCTTGGAGCCCCACTGGCACCAGCACAGGCCCTGTCGGGTTGGACCAGACTGGGGGAGCTGCCTTCCACCTCCTGCTTTCAGTAATTCCCTGCACTGCCCTCCTGATGGGCACAGAGAGGATGGGGGGACATGAGAAGGGTTAAATTATATTTTGGAATGTTCCTGTGAGGCTGAGGTCTCCTAGGCATAGGAACATTTCCAGCAGGGCTGAGGGCTCCTCACTTTCTGCCAGGTGGGAGGTGTCCATCTCCCTCCCCTTCCACCCATCAACCAAAATCCAGCCCAGGCCAGGGGCTGCTGCTGTGCTGGGGTTTGGGAACATCAGGAGCACCAGGAGAAATCACAGCTCATGTTCTTGGCTTCCTCAGGGAATGCTCCATACAAGGAAAAGTGTTTGTTCTCAGGGAAGGATGGATTTGTGCTCAGCTCTGTTATCAGTCACTGCTCCTCCATGGAAGCAGGATCCCAGGCCAGGCAGTTTGGAAATTCCCTCTGTTCTTCACGAGCTTCTGACATATCTGTTCTCTCCCTTCCCATCCCAGTTTTCTCCTGGTGATGGATTATTTTGGGATCAACATGGCCTCCCTCAACTCCTGCATCAACCCCGTGGCTCTGTACTTTGTCAGCCGGAAATTCAAGAACTGCTTCCAGGTAGGAATGATCCCTCCAGAGCTCCTGGCTGCACTCACCAGGCCCAGGGACACAAGCTGATCTTATTCCTCATCCCAAATTTTCCCCATTAGATACCTACCTTCTCCAAGTACACCAGAGCTCAGTACCCTGCTCGGGGGAAGCTTTTGTGAGAGCAGGATTTAGGATAAGCCAAAAATTCCCTGTCACTCTGGGACAGGAATATCCCCACAAACCCTCAGACCAGGAGCTGGGGCTGCTGCAGACTTTGAACCCAAGACGCTGGGAGATAATTTTTAGGAGTAGTGAAGCCCTGAGAAAGAAAGGGAAGGCGATTGGGATGGGATGGGATGGGATGGGATGGGATGGGATGGGATGGGATGGGATGGGATGGGAGTTGAGCATAGCTAAGCATCACCTGTATTTTCTGTCCCCTAATGAAAAGAACACACAATTACAAAAAATGCCCCCAAATTTTAGTGTCCTCATTTCCTACCCTCACCAGCCCTATCCTGGAAAACCTGCTCCCAGCAAAATGCAGGACAGCAGTGCTCAGCAATTCCCAGCCTGGCACTGTTCAGGGACACCTGCTGGCACGATGTGGGAATATTTCCTCCTCTTTTCACATATCCCAAGTGTGTGACCTCTCCCTCTTGTGTCTCCCCAGTCCTGCCTGTGCTGCTGGTGCCAGAGGCCAGCCCTGAGCATCACCCCCACGGACGAGAAGGGATCTGTTGGGAAGTGGAAAGCCACGGGGCAGGAGCTGGGGCTGGACCGGAGCAGCTCCCGCCTGAGCAACAAGTACAGCTCTTCCTAAATCCCTGCCACTGTCCAGGACACGGCACAAGGACAGCAGGACCCCTCTGATCCTCTCCCAGGCTCTTCCTGGCTGGGCCTGAATCAGCTTTGCCTTTGTGTCCTAACCCAACTGGAAGGAGCTGGGGCATTCCCCAGGACCACCTCCAAGCCCAGCTCCTGGCCCCAGCGGTCACCCCTGCAGGAGAGGGAAGGACATTCACATCCTCACAGGACTTTTCATTTCCTTCCAGGAAAACCAAAGGACTTCTGGCCACTGCCTCGGGGTGGAACGTGGGGTGGAGGGATGCGTGTGGGAAGGGAAGGAATGTTGGGGTGAGGAGAAGAGGGAGAGTGACAATTCCCAGCTGTAAAAGCCAAGCAAAGCCTGTGAGGGACAGAGATGTCCTCGTGGTCATGTGGAGGTGGGAAAGGCAGTGGAGAAGATTCAATCTCAGCTGGAAGAGCCACTAGAACCAAGTAAAATATGGGAAAGGGCTCTCTGGAATTTATTATTGGCAGTAATTCATCCCCCAGGTGATTTGCCAGCAGTTTTCAAGGCCAGGTTGGACAGGGCTTGGAGCACCCTGGGATAGGGAAGGAGTCCTTGCCCATGGCAGGGGTGGGAGGAGAGGGAGTGGGAGTCCCTCCCAACCCAAACCAGTCTGTGAATCCATGTGATTCCATTCTAAGTTCTTGCCAAAACTTTCAGAAAATCTACATGAAAAAGCTGTATTTATCAGGTTTTTGACGATTTTTTGTTGGCTTTCCTACATCTCTCTTTTCCCTCTCTCTCTTTTCCTTCTTTTCCCCTTCTACCTTGTCACAGAAAAAAAAGGGAGAGAGGAAAAGGGGAGAAGAGATGAGACCTGCAATTAAAACATTTTCCAGGTGTTGGGATGGACTTGTAGCTTAACTGTCACTGAAATGTAAATGTTTTACAAATAAATCATGAAGACAAATGGGTTTGAGGAAAACAGACTGAGGAATATCAAGACCAGCCCATTTTCCCAATCTGTGGTGCAGAAATTTTCCCAAATATCCCCAATCGGTGGAGCAATCTGTCTCCACGTTCTATAACTTTCCATCCCTGTGCTGAGCAGAACACTTAATGAGCTCTGCAGTATCTAAATTAATAAACTTTTTATTATTAAAGAAAATACAATTTGCAACAAAGTCATAAAAAAACCCAACAAAAACGACCTTGTTTGGACACAGGGAATTCAACACACAAAGGTTACACATCCATGCCACTCCCAAAGGCTACTGCATCTCCTCCTCCTTCTGTGCCCTGAACTCCTTCATGCTCCTCTGAAACAAAAGCAAAGAACAAATGTCACCAACATGCCCCTGGGGTGGCACAGAGCCACCACCCTGCTGTGCGGGGACTGCTCTGGCTGGAGCCTGGAAAGGCTGGGAAGCTCTGACAGAGCTCCAGGTGGTTTTTCTGGAAGTGACTGAACTTTACAGTCACTCCAAGGGAAAGGGAGCCAGGCCATGCCACAGACCAGGCAGAGCCTGGCCAAAAAAACTCCCAGGTTTTCCTGCCAAAGGTGTCTCCAATACAGGCCTCAGTTTCCCATTCTGGGAACAAGGGACAGAGCTGACCCTGAGCTCTGCAGGAATGGCCCAAGGGACAGAACTGACCCTGAGCTCTGCAGGAATGGCCCAAGGGACAGAACTGACCCTGAGCTCCCCAGGAATGACCCAAGGGACAGAGCTGACCCTGAGCTCCCCAGGAATGACCCAAGGGACAGAGCTGACCCTGAGCTCCCCAGGAATGACCCAAGGGACAGAACTGACCCTGAGCTCCCCAGGAATGACCCAAGGGACAGAACTGACCCTGAGCTCCCCAGGAATGGCCCAAGGGACAGAACTGACCCTGAGCTCTCCAGGAATGTCTCACCTCAAAGGTGTTGAGCACGTGTTGGCACACACCCATCAGGTCATTCAGCCCCTTCCGGAATGGCTCCACAGCAGGAAGGGCCCCTTCGGGAAAAGATGGGAAAAGGTGGATTAGGGACAAGGGGGGTGGCTTCTCAAGGGCAGTCCTTGCCTTCCCAGGGGTGTGCCCCCTCCCCAGCCCCACAGCTTGCAGTGCCAGGGATGCTGCTTCCCACTGCAGCTGGAGCAGAATTCTGGGAGCAGCCTCTGAGGCTCAGCAAAGGGGCTCAGCACTGCAGTGCCTGGCAGAGGGCAGGGAGAAAGGGCTTTCCTTTATTTCACAGACTCCTGGGAAGCTGGCCTGAGCAGGGGGAGTTCCATGAGAACAGGGCCCCAGGCACAGAGGGCCAGCCCCAGCCTCACCTCTGGTCTGGATCCTGAAGTTGATCTTGCTTTCCGAGGGGTGTGTGATGCAGTAGCCACAGAACTCCACGTCAGGGCTGCAGGAGGGCAGAGGGGAGAGGGAGCAGTGAGACCCAGCCAATCCACAGCAAATCCCAGGGAATTAGAGGCTCAGGGCACACCAGGCCTGCTGGGGCTCTGGATGTTTCTAGAATGACTATGGGGAGGGATGTGCTGAGGGGAAACTCCCTGTGTGTCCTGGTTCCCTCACACCCATCTCTCTCTGAGCTGAGCTGGAGCTCTACAGGGCAAAGACACAGCTGGCACCGTGCTGGCACCACAACCAGAGCAGTGCCAGCTCTGCAGATCCAAACATGGGGTCCTGGATACTTGCAATTCTCTCTGTAACCAAACCTGCTGCTGCTCTGCTGGGTGGAATAGGTCCAGGGCACTGGAGGAGTTCCCAAAATGTTGCAGAGCCTCTCCTGCACCTGAGCTGAGTGCTGGAACTTTGCCCTCAGCTTCGGCCACCAGCTTCTTTTATGTTGCCACAGTGATTTATCAGAGGGACCTTAAAGGCCACCCAGTCCCAGTCCCAGTCCTGCCATGGCCAGGGACACCTTCCACTATCCCAGGGTGCTCCAAGCCCCAGTGTCCAACCTGGCCTGGGACACTGCCAGGGATGGGAAATCCACAGCCCCTCTGGACAGCAAATGGAGTCCAGGACTCAGTTACTCCTCCAGCAGCTCAGGAGGGACTGAAAGCCCTGGGCTGAGCTTAACTTGGGTTCCTGGGCAAGGGGAGGGTGTGGGTGGAGGCTCAGGAGAGGCTGGTCAGGCCCTTTGAGGGCTGTTGGTGCTCTCAGGGTCCTGGCACGGCACAAGGAAAAGGAGGAGCAGCAGGTGGGAGCAGGGCTCCGTGTCTGACACAAAGGCTGGAAGGGCGAGCACAGAGGGGATTTGGGATCGTTTGCCTCATCCCAGGGACAGCTGAGGTGTGGATCAGGAAGGAGAAGGCCAGAGCAGGGCAGGGAGGTCCCTCAGAAGCCCCACTCACTTCTTCATGACCATGTAGCGCAGGGAGTTGCCCAGGGTGTGATCCTCGTCGTGCAGCACGAACGTGACGCAGTTCCCGTCCGTCCCATCCGCCTGGATCTGTCACCAGTGCGAGAGGAGAGAAGCTGTGACCTCCCTGAGGTGGGGGACCTGAAGGGACAGGATCAGCTCCCGTGCTCAGCTTCCCAGAGTAGCTGGGAGGGTTATAGATCTCACTGAGCCACCTCTGCTGCTGCTGTGGGACCAAAACACCTTCAGGGAGGAGGGAAAGCTCCAAAATTCCACCTAGTTTTAAACCAGTCCTGACCTCCACTTGCTGCTGTTCACCACAGCATGACAGAGTGCCCCTTGGAGCCATCCTGACACCATCTGCCCTGATGCCAATGCCACCCTACAACTAAGCCAAGCTCGGGAATGACAGAACCACGGGAGCACGGAATCGCTGAGGCTGGAAAAACCCTCCGAGATCCCGGAGCACAGCACTGCCGGGGCCAGCCCAACCCACGTCCCCAGGGCTGCAAACCCCTGCAGGATTTAAAGCACTCCTGCCCGGCAGGCCAGCCCTGTCCCTGGAGGAATTTCCGCTAAGTTCCAGCCTGACCCTCCCCGGCACAACGCGAGGCCGCTTTCCCTCAGGAGCGGGGCCCCGCTCCGGCTCCCGGCCGCGACCCCAGCCCGCCCCCGCCGCCGCTCACGGTTTCCAGCGCGGGCCCGCTGCCGGCCATGGCGGCTCGGCGCTCCCGGCGGCCCCGCGGCCGGAAACGCGTCGGGCCGGGCCGGGCGGGGCCGNGCCGGGCCGGGCCGGGCCGGGCCGGGGGTCGGTGCGGGGCCGGCGGGAGGAGGCCGCGCTCGGCGCAGGCACGGGGGGCACGGCGGGGTGGCCGCGCTTACCGGGGCTGTACCGGGCTGTAGCGGGCTGTACCGGGCTGTACCGGGCTGTACCGGGCTGTATCGGCGGGTGATGGGAGAGCTGCTGTGGCCTGGTGCGCTACTGATGGGTACTGGTGCGCTACTGGTGGGTACTGGTGCGCTACGGATGTACTGGGGTGTAATTAGGGTGTTAGTGGCCTGTTACCGGGGGTGTTACCTGCGCGTTGCTGGTGGGTTATTGCCGTGTTACCGGGATGTTATTGGTTTGTGATTTGCTGTATTACTGGGATGTTATTGCTGTGTTATTTGCTATATTACCGGGATGTTATTGGTGGGTTATTGCCGTGTTACTGGGATGTTATTGGTGTGTTACTGGGATGTTATTGGTGTGTTATTTGCTGTATTACCGGGATGTTATTGGTGTGTTATTGGGGTGTTACTGGTGGGTTATTGCCATGTTACTGGGATGTTATTGGTGTGTTATTTGCTATATTACCGGGATGTTATTGGTGGGTTATTGCCGTGTTACTGGGATGTTATTAGTGTGTTAATTGCTGTATTACTGGGATGTTATTGGTGTGTTATTGGGGTGTTACTGGTGGGTTATTGCCATGTTACTGGGATGTTATTGGTGGGTTATTGCCGTGTTACTGGGATGTTATTGGTGGGTTACTGCCGTGTTACTGGGATGTTATTAGTGTGTTAATTGCTGTATTACTGGGATGTTATTGGTGTGTTATTGGGGTGTTACTGGTGGGTTATTGCCGTGTTACTGGGATGTTATTGGTGTGTTATTTGGCATATTACTGGGGTGTTGCTGGTGGGTTATCGCTGTGTTACTGAGATGTTATTGGTGTGTTATTTTCTGTATTACTGGGATGTTATTGGTGGGTTATTGCCGTGTTACTGGGATGTTACTGGTGTGTTATTGCCGTGTTCCTGGTGGGTTATTGCCGTGTTGCCGGGATGTTATTGGTGTGTTATTTGCTATATTACTGGGGTGTTATTGGTGTGTTATTTGCTATATTACTGGGGTGTTATTAGTGTGTTCTTGCCGTGTTAGTGGGGTGTTGCTGGTGGGTTATCGCTGTGTTACCGAGATGTTATTGGTGTGTTATTTTCTGTATTACTGGGATGTTACTGGTGGGTTATTGCCATGTTACTGGGATGTTATCGCTGTGTTACTGGTGTGTTATTAGTGTACTAGTGGCCTGTTACCAGGGATGTTACTGGGATATTACCGCAGTATTACTGGGGTTATAGCACTGTGTTACTGGCCTGTTACCGGGGATGTTACTGGGATATCACCACGGTATTACTGGGGTTGTATCACTGTATTACTGGGGTTGTATCACTGTGTTACTGGGTTGTTATTACCATGTTACTGGCCTGTTATCAGGGCTGTTACCAGTATGTTGTTGGGATGTTTTTAGTGTGTTAGTGGGGTGTTGCTTAGTGTGTTACTGGCTTGTTACTCGGGTGTTACCCATGTATTACCTATTATTGAGGTGTTACTAGTGTGTTACTGGTGTGCCTGGGAGTGGACGGTGTTGCGGATGTAGCACTGCATGGCTTAATTAGTTAATTAATTAAGCACAGGTGTGCTGGCAGGGGGTGCAGGGAGGCTGGAGGGAGTCGGGCTCTGCTCCCAGGGAACAGTGACAGGATGGCAGGATGTGCCATGGAGGTTTAGGTGGGATATTGGGAACATTCTGGCCTGGACAGGGCTGTCCAGCCCGGGCCCAGGGCAGGGGTGGAGTGCCTGTCCCTGCAGGGATTTGAAGCCGGCTGGAAGTGGCACTTGGGGACATAGTCAGTGTGGCTTTGGCATTGCTGGGAAATGGTTGTGCTCGATGCTCTTGGAGGGATTTTCCAACCTCAGCAATTCCCTGATTCCATGCTTTGGGCTGCATGTGTTCCCTTGTTAGAGAGCTGCTTACTCAATCACCGTTGTGTTGTGGGTCCTTACCCTCCTCCAACCCTGCAATGCTGCTTCCAGGAAACGTGATGGGGCTGGAAGACCACGTGGATTCATTTCCTTGGTGATTTGGCATCCGTAGGGATGCAGTGGGGGAACCTGAATTAAACTGTGTGCAAAAGGGAGGCTGAAATTGGGATAAGTTGAAGCACAAATGGCACAAATCTCAGGTTCAAAATGAACAGGAGAGCCCCAGGACTTCATGGTGGAATGTTCTGTAATGAAATAATGATTTTTCCAACTGCCCAGCAGAGGTTAAAGGGAAGCCTGGGCTGCTTTCTGCTGAGCTCACCCTGCTCAAACGATCTCTTTATTGCAGCAGTTTGCAACTCACTGAGTTGCAACACCTCCCCTTGTTCCGCGGTGCCCTTTGCTTTCTGTTAGGAGGATTTCTGGAAGTGCAGGCAGGGACTTTCCACTGCTCACTGGCACTGAGCTGGGAATCTTTTGGGCCAGAAGAGTTGCTGGAAAACGGTAAATCACCCCTACAGGAGTTTTAAACATCATGCTGAGACTGAGCCTGTGTTTCTGATGTTCCTTAAGAGGTTTTTTGGTGCCTTTTTTCCATGCCCATGTATTGGGAAATGGGAATTGTTCCCTGGGAGGGTGGGCAGGCCTTGGCACAGGTGCCCAGAGCAGCTGGGGCTGCCCCTGGATCCCTGGCAGTGTCTCAGGACAGGTTGGACACTGGGGCTGGAGCAGCCTGGGACAGTGGAAGGTGTCCCTGCCATGGCAAGGGTGGCACTGGGTGGGCTCTGAGGTCTCTCTTACCCAAACCCTTCTGTGTTTCTGGGATCCTTCAGTTCAGTCCCCAGAGGGACCTCAGACAGCAGCTCATGCATCTTGCATTGTCTTTTTGGAAGGTTTGGTCTTGGCTGCTTCCAGCTGTGTAACATTGTAAGTTTAGATAGAAAAATGCTCTGCAGAGGGGTTGATTCACAGGGATTTCATTCTCCTGTAACTGCTGAGGAAGGACGTTCTGTGGCAGTTTAGCAGATTTGTGATACTAACAGGAGTAACACAGGCTGGTACAAAAAATATTCCTGGTTAATCTGTTGCTGCAGCTGGTGTTGCTGCCAGGCACAGAACTCCTGTGTCCTGAGCACAGCAAGGGCCAGGAATTTGGGGAGTCAGGACTGTGAACTTGGGAGATGAGGCCTGTGAATCCGGGGAAGTGAGAGCCAGGAACTCAGGGAATTGAGGGCTGGGGGATCCTGCAGTGCCAGCGAGTGCCACCTCACTCTGCTGCTGAAGTGTCACCTTGGGTTCCATTAATATCCAATATTAAAAGAGCAGAGATTTGTAGGAATTGTCTAAACCACATTCCTCAGCTGGGGCTGCCCTTGTTCTGCTCAGGGCACTGAGGTGTCTGTGTGTGTGGGCTCTGTACCCTGAGCTTCAGCTGGTCCTTGCAGGGCAGGGGCAGGCTTTGGGAATGTGTTTTCTGCTCCTTTCTGTGGCTCCTGGGTGACTGCAGGAGCAGGCAGTGGTTTCCTGGTGCTGGACACTCAGCTGGTTGCTCAAGAGGTGTTTGTGATTCCAGGCTGTGCCCTGGTGCTGCTCCATGGCCTGGGACAGCCCTGGGCTGGCCATAGCCTCTGTGTCCAGTGGCTCTGCAGGGGCAGGAGGGTGCAGTGAATTCCCTGGGCTGAGTTAGCTCACAGTCTTATTTCAGACAGGAGCATTTCAACCTGAAAATGAGCCAAAGTGGAGCTTACTCAGAGCTGAAGCATAAAGGAATAAGCAATTCCTTGGAAGCTTCCTGCAGGAGCCAGCATCTCTACCTGAAGGGCAACCAAGGCAGAAACCAGACCCAACAAATTTTTCATGAGCATGAAAGCAAGCTAAGCCTTGGATAAGTCAAATTAAATGCTGCTCACAGCAGAGGGAAGGGCAACCCCAACAGCCAGAGCAGCTGTGGCTGCCCCTGGATCTCTGGAAGTGGCCAAGGGCAGGCTGGATGGGCTTGGAGCCACCTGGGACAGTGGAAGGTACCCCTGCCATGGGGATGGTCTTGAGGTCCCTTCCAGCCCCACCCATTCCATGGTTCTGTTCCCCTTGGCAGTGCTCCCAGGTGGTTGTGTGGAGTCTGTCCTGTGAGTAAATCCATGCCTTCATCCTTTTCCCCTCCAATGCTGGGCTCAGACCTGTGGGAGGTTTGGAGATGCGCTGGTCAGTGCTGGCCAAACCTGGATCTGTAGGGCTCAGCCTGCCCAGGTGAGCCCTGCTGGGGTGGTGGTTGGATCTCCCTTCACGGCCCTGTTAATCCAGAAGAGATCCCTGATTCTCACCAGGCAGTGCCAGGGAGATGGAAAATGTGGATCCAGAAACTCAGCCAGCACTCCTGCTCTGTGGCTGCTCCCAGAGAGGTCTCCTGGGGGGTTCAGGGGAGGTCTGTGATCGTGCCAGATCTGTTGAGGCACAGAACAGAGCAGGTAATAAGTAGGATCTAAGTGCAAAGTGAAAAATGAGATTTTTGGGTTTTGCGGGGTCCAAAGTCGTCCTAAGTCCTTCCTGAGCAGAAAAGAGGCTTATGGATGTGCAGGATGAGCAGGGCAGCAGTCCCAGCTGGGCCCTGACATGTGCTCCATGTGTTAGATCTGGCTCTGGCTGTAGATTAACTTGCCGATACTTGAGCTGATTAAGAGTGTCCCTTTCTGTGGCAGCAGGGATGTTTTTCCAGCTCTGGAGACTTAGGGAATCCCACGATGGCTTAGGGTTAGAAAGAAGCTTGAAGCTCATCCAGTTCCAACTCCCAGCACCTTCTGCTACCCCAGGCTGCTCCAAGCCCCATCCAGCCTGTCCTTGGGCACTGCCAGGGGCAGCCACAGCTGCTCTGGCTGTTGGGGTTGCTCTTCCCTCTGCTGTGAGCAGCATTTAATGTGACTTATCCAAGACTTAGCT